AACCAGCTCCCTTACCGTCATACCCACACACCGTACCCCAGATTGGTCCCGACGCCGGCCGATACGAAGAGCGGGAAGCAGATTTCTGGACCTGCGGCTTCTTTCCAGGATGCATATACGCCCTCCTCGAACGCTCGATACGATATCCCCAGGCCGTTGATGTCCCAGAACATGTGCGGCCACAGATCCAAGATCAACTACTCAAGTTAGGACGTCACTATGGCGTCGCTGTCAACCAGATGTCAGGTCGAACAGATACCCACGACATGGGCTTCATCGTGCAGCCTGCGTTACAGAAAGACTGGGAGTTGACCGGAAACAAAGAGAGCTTACAATCTGTCGTCAACGCAGCATACGCGCTCGCATCGCGATACGATGACCGGGTGAAAGCGATTCGGAGTTGGGATGTTGCGATCAACGACCGTTACTCAATAACCGACATGTCGACAAATTTCCTTGTCATCATAGATAGCATGTGCAGTAAGCCTTCCACCCATGCACTTCTCCTCCCTACTTACCCACACATCCCAGATCTCGACCTCCTCTACTTCGTCGGCCACATCCAAAACGACCAAAAGCTAATCGACATCGCAACCCAACACGCCGACTCCATCATCCACGAAATCCTGCGACCAGACTTCTCCTCCTACCACCTCGTAAACTTCGACCCGCGAACCGGACAACCACAAGCCAAAATGACGAATCAGGGTTGGAAAGACGATTCGACGTGGAGTCGAGGCCAAGCCTGGGCGATAATGGGTTTTGCGCAGACGTATTCGTGGACGAAGGATATCAAGTATCTGGCGACAGCGATCCAATGCGCAGAGTACTTCTTGCGAAGGTTGAAAGAAGGAGAGGGGAAGTGGCATCACCCCATGGTCCCGTGTTGGGATTTCGATGCCCCACAAGATCACCCCGAGGAGCCGTTACGCGACGTTTCCGCGGGCGTGATAACAGCGAACGGTCTCCTTATCATCCACCAAGCACTCCAGTCCCTCTCTTCAACCACGACAGCGCAACTCCCTTCTAGCAACGCCACCAATTTCCTCGACATCGCACTGCAGATAGTATCCCAGACTTTAGACATGTCGTACGACTCTGATCTAGCATCTTTCGAACTCCCCACCAAGAGCATGGTCAATGGGAACAGCGTGAACGGCGCAGTGGTAGCATCAGAGCTGAATATCAAGGAGTCAGGATTTGAGTGTATACTAAGGAATAGCACGACGAATTGGAATGAGCATGCGCATATGAAGTATGCGGATCATGGGTTGGTGTATGCGGATTACTATCTTTTGGAATTTGGGAATAAGCTTTTGAGGGCGGGGTTGCTGTGATGGGTGTTGGGGCGTTGGGATGAGTAGTCTTTGGCGAGGAAACATGTTGAAGTGAAGCAAGGCTGCGCTGTCTGCTTGAGGTTTTGACGTGCGTTTGCTGTGAGTGAGCATGTGTCAGGACTGTATGAAGGAAGCTAGCATATGAGAGAATCAGTATGTGAGAAAAGTGGGTAAGAGTCAAAGAACGTGTGGTTGGATTTCTTTTGCGTGCGTGACGAAATGAGCGTAATGCGTAAGGCGCGGTAGTGTATATACAGCGATGTCAAGCGAGTGTGGGTATGTATATGCAGCAGCATAGAAAGAGTGTGATAGTGCAAGTGTGCACAAACGTGAAGAGAGACATGTACAAGAAGAATGAGCGGAAAAGTGCGCAGTAGCCAACAAACAGCAGGAACGATACCTAGCCGGTCATCGTCACTGGCTTACACAGTGACATACTCCATGATAACCGAAGTCACGACCGTAGTTTGTGGGTCAGCGGGCGCGGTAGGCTCAGGCGCTTGCTCTGAGACGGCCGGCGCGCTAGAAACCTCTGGTGTAGGAGTAGGGGTAGATGAGATGGCCGGCGCGCTGGAAGCCTCGAGTGAGGTCGCAGGGGTAGGTGTAGATACGGCCGGGGTAGAAGCACCCAGTGTCACATACTGCGTAATGACCGACTCCAAGAGCGTCGTTGCAATCTGGGGACCCGCACCGCCAGCATCAGGAACGACCTCTGGAACAGGAGCCTTCTTCCACTCAAACTCGCCAGACTCAGCGTTGTAAGATCCGCTCGACTGGTCGGCAGGGAGAGTCGAGTTGGTGCCGTCAGGTCCAGGTCCGTTGTACACGGGCGGGTTGCCTTCGATGTCGTCTTTGTATTCGACATCGCCGTTCCAGATCGGCACCTCGCTGTCGGACTCTGGGATGCTGACTGGCACGCTGAATACGGTGACATTCAAGCCCTTGGGTGGCTTGTTTCGTGGGATCTCGCTGAAGTCCAGAGCTTGGATGCGCCAGCTGAACTTCTCTTTGAGATAGGCCTGTACTGTTTCTTTGTCCAGGCTCTTGAGCTCGCCGGCCGCGTGCTTCTGTGCGAGCTTCTCAGTCAGACCGATGTTACCCGTAACGATGTTTGAGGAGCTCATTCGCGGAGAAGACAGGGTGGCGAGCTGACCAACGTAGTTGGGGTCTGTGGGCCAGTCGATGGGGTTGGTGCTGGGCTCGCCAAGGAAGGCGCGAACGGCGTAGGATACCTTGATGTCGGTCGGCATGTTAACTTCGCACTGCCAGTCGGTAGCCTGGACCGTGCGGTTGATGCTGCCTCCGCCTGGAGTCGGGAACGTCGCATTGACTGTCGCATTGGTCTCGCTCAGGCCTTGAGTCTGGGCCTTGTACAACTGATTGATGGACGATGTCAGTGTCGCATTGCTGGGGTTGTTTTCGAGTTCGGGGTAGGTGTATCCAAAAGAGGTCCAGTTGCGGGAAGTGGTTGCAGTCCACATGTCGCCAAGGGCGTTCATGTGGAACGGTGCGAGTGGCGAAGCAGTACCAAGAACGCTACCGCTGGCGACAGCGAATGAACCCATACGCTGCTCGGCGTCCTCAACCCAGGTGTCGGGGTAGCGAGTTTGGTACATAGATATGATCCGATCAATGTTACTACACACGGTTAGCATTACTCTCAACATGACGTTCCGAGGACTTACCAGTGATGGAACCAGAAGATGGGGTCGAATGCCGAAACCTCCACTATGCCCATGTGACCCAATCCGAAGACGGTATGCAGACCATCGTGTAGAGTCTCGAAGTTTCCGATCTTGCCACCGTTCGCCTTGTTGCTCACTTGGCTGAAGGGTTGGTACGTCGTCAACAACTTGTAGAGCATATCGCGGAGATTTGGCTGCTGTTTGCCAACTCGATCGTTAACCTCGCTGTTACGGCTGGTGGCATTGGCAGCGTGTGGATCAGCTGGGTACCGAATAGTGTGGTTCCAGTACTTGAACTCAAATTCGCTCTGCTTATGTGTCAGCAGCCAAGTTCTTCAGGATGATACCTTCATCGGGGAGCGTAGATATATAGAATTGAGACGTACCAGGGGAGCGAAGTCATCATACTTCAGAGGATGGAAGTCGTATTTGTACAGAGGGTTGGGAATATACCCTGTGGTCCCATTGGGAAACGTGACAGTAGCCGTGAGGCAACGCACGTTTTCAGGAATGACACCCTCTTCACTGTTTGGCGGATCCATCGCCCAGTCCCAGTAAGGAAGGCGAACTCGGTTTGCAATATCCAAGGCCTTCTTACGGGCTTCACCAATGGGATACTCATTGGCAACGTCGACCGCGCGATCATGGAGAACCTGCTCAAAGAGCGCGAGATAGGGCCGGTGCCATGGGCCGAACATGCTGGAGCCATGAGGACAATATCCCATCATCTCATGACCAGCTGTTCCGTTCACATTGTCCCACTTCTGGAATGGCACTCCGTGTATCCCTAGAGATGTTAGTTAAGCCTCTGATAAGAACATTAATTCCATACCTGCGACCTGGAAGTAAGAGATCTTCTGATCCTGGTCCATAGCCTGAAAGCGAGCAAACGCCTGGATAAAGATGTTCCATAACTCCGTGTCTTTCTGCAATTCACGGAGTTCCTGTCGGGGATGTACTCCAGTTCCCTGGACTCCGACAACGCTGAAGTAGCTGTCATCTGCCTTTGCAACTCCGCATGAAGGGCCATTGGTGGAGTTGGACACAGCTTGTACGCTTGCCAGTAACGAGAGTGTGGTAGCCAGACCAGTGAAAGAAAAGAGTGATTTCATGTTGGCCAACCGGTAGCGAATGAAGATGATCGTCAAGATCTGAACGAATGGAAGCTGCAACAAGTTGCGAACGAAAAGAATGAATGTCACTAGGACTGAAAGAGAGACTGGGCAAGCGATGCTGTGATGGGATTCTGGATGGACATGATGCTGTATATAATATGTCCGTAAAATGAACGGCTGATGGCACAATCCACTGCCCCGCTACCTGTAAGTGACGTACCGCGTTGTAGTACCGGCACTTCATGCGTAAAACATCCACCAGCTGTCAAAAGGCAGGTGCAGCAGCGTGTACGCCGTTGTTGCTCGGTGCATCCTTGCATGTAGGATGATGTTCGAAACATGTTTGGTTTCTTCGCATGAACGTGCCAAGGACGGAGGAGCACGACGTATGGACCATGAACACAAGAAAATCAGAGTCCTGTAGCGTATTGTCGGGCTTCATTGGGGATCTAGTACCGGCGTTCATGATCTCTGTATAACCGCGCTTGACCGTTGACTTAGTCGTCCTAGCCAAGACGCAGCATAGACAAATGAGTATCTTGGGGATGTCTTAGCCCTACCACCTAGTCGAGAATCCCATGTCGGCACGAGCGGGCCATCTTCGATCGGTGCAGTATACTGATTGTGGCTGTGGCGTGGGGAAGCTGTGTGATGTTGATTGTGTGAGATGGCAGGGCTGCGGCACAGACCACCACGGCATGGTGCGACGCTCACAGAGAGCAAATTGACGAGCAACCGAAATTCAGGCACCTATCAACCCGGATGTGACGGCCTGGAATGGTCGATGCGACGAAAAAATGTCGGCACGTAGCGATTGCTAACCGGCAAAAATGGTGTTATTGCGATTTTGCGGGGGATGTGCTTCATACACTTTCCATAGTGTCGGGAGGCATGGAGTCATCGACATCACGCGCTGTCAAAGTGCGTTTCGTGTCCTTGAGCTGTTTCGCCTGGCTACTCTTTCTCTTTCTCGAGCCTGCACTATCAGATGCGATGTGCAATCTTGCCCACTTTTTGACTTTCTTGAAAACTTCGAGTACTGGCACTGGGAGCCCGCCCAGCTGAGCAGCTGATACACCATTGCTTCTCGTCAAGACATCAATAGTCGTTCGAGCCCGTGTGATGGCCGGGTTCAGAGATTGGCCAAACACGGTGTCACCGAACGATGTCAACGCAATGTTCCTCAGAAGCAGAATGTCGCCAACTTTGATGCTCTCTAGTGTCTGCAGTAGTTGGTTTTGAATATGGTTTTGTTCGTTGTTGGACTCTCGGAGTGGGCGCAGCCAGAACGTGACCTTGAAGTCTGAGCGTGTATCATCCGCAACGATGATCTCCCATAGATTCATCTTGTACCCGCCCTTCCGAACGAAGACTTCTTTTTGTTCCGGAGTCGCTGTCACAACGCATAAGAAGTTCGGTGTTGGGGTTTGCGGGTAGATCTCCCGTAGACGTTGTGCGTTAGGTAACAGTCCAAGAGGCGTGATACTCATCTTGGGCGCGACTTTGACGAGTAGTGTATGCTCATCGACTTTGCTTGGGCTGTCAAAGTCCGATAGAGTAGTTCCGAAAGAAGTAGTCAAGAAGGATGATGAGCTGACGCTCTTATCCGTTATACCGTCTGGTAGGACCTGAGACGACAGGAGCGTATCGTGGAAGACGAGCGAATGCTCAAGATAGCCAGGTGTGGCGATTGACGTATCCTCAAAGGCGATAGAGGTGTCCAGGTGGGTTGTATCTTCCTGTAAAAACGACATATACCGACCCACGTTGGGCAGCGAAACATCTGATATGTCTTGACCTCGAACATTTCCTGGAAGAAAAGGTTGTGACCATCCAGTCTGGAGACGAAAGTTCTTGAAAGGCAGTCCGCGCCACTTTAAAGACGGCGTGGATTCATTTGCAGGTGTAGAGACACTTGTTGCTGCATCAAAGGGACGGCAATCCTCGACTGCCAAAAGTGTGTCCTCGTTAAACTCTAGATGGTTGCGCAAAGGCGCTCCATTGAGCATCTTGAGCCGCATCTTACGCGACTGACGCGTCTACGCGTACGTGATGGATCGGCGCGTACGCGATAGAAGTCATGGGAACAGCGTCGTTCTTCGAAGTATACTAGCGTAGGATGTGTGCGAGGGTTATGTAGAGCCGAGTAGAGAGAAGTCGGAGAATGTGAGGATGTCCGGGCCTCGTCCAACAAATCCGAAGCTGGAGGCATAATCGTCGCCTAATCTGATAACGCGAGGTCCGAAAGCCGAAGCAATTCACCGAGACAAGAAAAGCAACATAAGAGGCGGTCAGCTTCCGTCTGAACTCCCGTAAGACGTCGACTTCGACTTCGGTGATATTCGATAATTATTGTTCGTTAGGCAACAACGGCCGTGAACGGGCGTGAAAGACATCATCCAAGTACCAACCACTCCGTAAGCGTCGGCGTCACCGCGCGCCCACATTCCGCGGCCTTGGCGATCTAATCGCCGCATCTGATATAAAGATACGCAATGGCACCTTCCAAGACGCCCCACCGGCCGATAAACGCCTACCGAGTGCCTGCCATGTTGCGCAACCTGTCCTACAAGCTGACCTCAGCACTTTCGTCGTCGGAAGTCCCTACGTTGGCCAAGGACAGCGACGAATTCACCAAAGCGAAGAAGACGGAGGAGTTGTTCCCGACCACCGACCCCGCGGTAGATGGCGACGACTGCCTGCACGACTGCGCTAGTTGCAGTATCAAATACCCGCGCAAGTTCGAGATTGATGAGACGGAAGAGCTGTATGGACACGTGAAGGGATGGAGTACGCATTTGATTGTCGCGACGGGCAAGACGGATTGGGTGCGCGATGTCGCAGACGAGAAGGGCAGCATCATGGAGGCGGTTGACAGGGGCGATGCAAAGCCTAGCAATGGGGTGAGTTTGGAGATATGCTACCGTCAGGTTGTGTCGAGTGCGAGCTAATTGGGTACAGAAACTCATGTTATCCGCCTCTAATATGCCCGTCCCAGACCACTCGGATCACAGTTCCATGGTACTACTGCTACCATCATGGCAGTTCATAGACAACGTCACACCTGCGAACATCCCCGAACTTATCACCGACTACATCAACCCCGGTCCTACGAATAACACCCCATTGCGCCCACGAAAAACCGCCGAGCTACCACCTTCAGAAAAGCCGGAAGAGACTTCTTCCGCCGACGCCGACGCGCCCTCCTCCATACCCCCGTCGATACCCGCACCCCAACTCAAAGCCCGACCATGTCCACACAAATACCTCATCTTAATGTGCAGTCAGAAGACACGAGACGCACGCTGCGGCCAGTCCGCTCCTCTTCTACAAAAAGAGTTCTGTCGACTGCTACGACCATTGGGATTATACCGTGATCTACATGACGAGCGACCGGGCGGCGTAGGAATATACTTCATAAGCCATGTTGGCGGCCACAAGTTCTCGGCAAACGTCATGGTCTACCGACACTCTTCAGTCGTCACACGGCCCGAGAGCGCGAATGGCACTGCCAATGGACATGCCAATGGTGCGGAGAAGCGGCTCGCGGACCTGAAGCTTGAAGATGATAATGGACAGGAGGTTCTGCTGGATGCTAATAAGGAGCAGGAGGCAGAGGGTAATGGTGAGGCTGCGCAATGTATATGGTTGGCAAGAGTGAAGCCGGAGGATTGTGAGAATATTATTAAGTACACGGTGCTGCAAGGGAAGGTGGTGAAGCCGGAAAGGCAGTTAAGGGGTGGATTTGATCGGTGCAAACAGCTAGCTAGTTGGTAATCGGTTGTGAAGCACTGCCGTGTCCTCCAGCTCAGGCGCTGTCTGAGTCCCAGGCAACTCATATGGTGTTTCCTCCACGTCCTCTGATATAGTCCCACGACCCTCATCGTTTGCACCTGCCGACTTCTCGCTTTTGTTGCTATCTGGATGTCTCCGGCGAATCCAGTACATCGCGATGAATATGGTGCCAACGATTGTTAAACCGCCCAAAACGCCGCCTATTATCGCACCGATATCAAGGGAGTAAATTCCGGGTTCGTTGACGGAGGACGACGAGCTGTCATCGAAAGTCGCAGAGTCACCATAGGTCGGCGTCGCACTCGTTTCTTGAGGCCGTGAGTATGCATCGCTAGAGTCGGATCGGTCGGTTGTTATGGTGACAGTCTTGAAAAGAGGTGGTATTACGACTGTAGAATATGGTCCTGCGGATTCTTTGACGGTTTCTGTTACGGTTTCCGTCACAGGCTCCCACAAGTCGCCGGTGTTGGGTGTTATCTTAAGCGTGCGGATGCCTGATGAAGGGGTCCAGTAAGAGTAGGATTCCTCTTAATTGTTAGATTGTAGACCAGTAGCAAGATGACCAAAGTACATACCGTCTCCATCTCAGCTCGTCGCGGTCGGTGTCTCAACGGCAGCGAGTGACTTTTACGAGCAGAAAAGAGGTACCTAAGACAACTCTAACTAGGTAGAAGATTGCATAGTTATGGTTCCTGTACACAGCCCCTTTCAATGAAAACGTCGATGTAACACTAGAAAGCAGCATTGCGGTTGTGTCACAACCTGTATCAGCATGGTACAGTGCAGCGCGTAGAACCTGCGCGAATGACTTAACCAAAGGCCCCGTAGTACAGAATACGTACGTACTGGGGTATATACAAGGTTAGGCTCGATATGCAATGAATCACGCGCATACGGGAAGATACATGTTCAACTCGAACATAACATGGGGTATCATTTGTGGTATATCGCTTGACCATGCGTCTATGGTGTCTGTCTGTCGGCTTTATGTGGCCCGTGGTCCTCAAGATGGCAAGCAATTTTCGATCTTTCCAAGTATTGTGACTTCGCAGCGTGCTCCCCATCGATATGCCGGTCATGATCGACCTTGCTCGACGAAATCAGTCGAGCATTCTGGGCCGCCAACTCGTACTGATTGTCCATAGAAGGGCTCCACGCGTGACGATGGCAACTTCCTGTAGGGTCTTGATCATCACGAAAAAGCTGTGAGTGACTTTTGAATCGCTTGTGATCGCACGACTTGTTGTATGTGCACATACGCGTCTCTCATCAGCCCGCGGCCTCCTTGACCATGCCACCTGGATTGGGCGCTTCGTCGATAAATTGCGGCGGTGCAGTATCGTCCAACATGAAGTTTGGCACACCTGACGATTCTCCAATACCCTCAAAGTCGACTTCGTCACCTAGTGCCTCCAGCTCAGCATCCAGCTCCGACTCGTCCACGTCTTCCGGTACGTCGTAGCTGCGGCTTATAGCGTCTTGTATATCGTTGCCCATATCCATGAGATCCGCCATCTCGTCTTGCAGCTTGTCGATCTTATCGATGTTGACCTTGCCGTATTGCTTCCGTAGCTCTTTTGTCGTTGTCTTCATAGCGTCGATGGTAGTCATTGTGTTCTTGAGGTTGTCTTGCATCATACCAGCCTGCTCCATATTCCACGACTGCGCCTGAAGCTGGTCGCGCTGCGCTTCGTATTGCTTCCGCTGCTGGAGGACTTTGAGGGCTTTTTGCTTGATGGCGGTTTTGCCGGGACCGTCGCGCATCTTGGCGAGCTTCTGCTGGTAGGTGGACAGCTCAGCGTTGAGCTTGGCGAGCTTGACGTCGAGACTTTCTATGCGCGTGTCGACCTGAGCGCGTCAGTATTGGAAGGGTGTTGCCTAACGGATGGAGCCTACATTGGATATGGCGCTGTTGAGCGTGGGCTTGGGCGCGGTGCTCTTTGCTCCAAATAAGCGGTTCATGTTGGTGAAGGGATATGTGGGTTACCGGCCGGAGAGTCGCGATATGCAGCCGAGGGGAGAGGACAGGCGTGGAGTGTGTTGGCAGTGTGGGGTGAATGGCAGGCACCGAACGGTGGTCGTAGCTCCGGCAGTTCCCGCTAACGTCATCGATCGTCACGTGGGCGCTAGCGATCGCACCCTGAGATGTCCAAGCAGGATTGCCATACATTGGAGTGTCCCATGCCATGGCAATTGCCGACATTGACGAGCTAACAAAAGCAAACATAGTACACGGTGAAGCAATACATTAACAGCTATTTACAATGGAGTCAAACGAACTTTCTCGCAGGCGGATGCCGGCATGCGATGCCAGATGCAAGATGCACCAAACCATCACACTGTTGAAGATGCTACATAACCATGACATTCTCCAGCATGCGCGGCTTTCGCGCCATCAGCACTAGCTCGCATGCTTATCTGAGCAACCGCTGGGTCCCAAACTTGTAATCACATACAGCTGATAGTCTTCCCTGAAATCGACATGTCCTGGTTAATATCAGGGAGGTGCAAGTGATCTGCACCCTGGCACGCTATCCGTACTACGCAGCTTCTAGCCTTGCCTGTCACCACCAAACCCAACAATACCCACAACACTCCGACTCGGGAGACACAGACGTTTTCGCAGCCTGTATCTGTAACGACGCCGCGCAACAGTCGGTGCATGGGTTGATCTAGAGCCTCGCGCGCTTTTCGTTTGCCATTGCCTTCCCCGCGGCCTCGTTCGCCTAAGGTACCTGTCCCACCTGTGCAACACAGCCCAAGCCACGAACACGCGCCCTCTGTCTCACTCGAGTCGCTCTGCTAACCAGCCCGCCGCCGTGTCCAGCTTTGCACGGCGTGTCCTTCTATGACGCATTGGTCGCCGCAGTAAATCTACGCATGTGCCCCACGCTGCTGCACACGCTCTCGAGTGCCTCGCCCGACCCTTCCCCTGCCCCGCCCTTGTAGCCGCAAACCACCGCAACCACCATGTTTTGGCGCTTCGGCGGGTACGCGCAGCTGTCGTCGCTC